GTCTTTATGCCTCCCTTGCTTCAACGAAATGCACCATTAAATGTAATTATTAATTATTGTATATATAACAATTAAATAAACTTATGTATTTTGTTCTATACTGTATCTTGTATAATGCTTTTTTTTATGTATTGTAGAAATATAGTTTACAGAATTATATTTGTAATAAAATATATGTTTTCAGCGCATTGAATAAATATGACTGCATGCACCACCGGTGGTACACGTGGCCTGACGATCAAGTTTACCGTGTACCACCGGTGGTACACGTGGCACGGAACGTGTTAATAAAATGATTGACGGGGCGGAACTTAATATATTTAAAAAGGGAAATCCAAATAATGAGTTAAAAGAAAGGGATATGTCGCTATTTCAACTGTGACAAAACACGAAACAACAACTTGACAGTATATCTTTTTTCCCTAATCCACCTATCAATCAGAATTTTTAGGATAATATAGATAATATGCAAACTGAAACATCCACATCTGTTGCAAACGAAGAGTCAGCTCCTAATTCTTGTAAAGCTAAGTCTTCTTCGGCCTCTGCAGAAATTCCCAGCCCGTTTAAGAAGCACTTATTCTATGAGAAACAGCGAGGAGTCAAAAAGAAAACGAAGCTCAAAAGAAAAAATGCCCACCATTGTCTCAGGACGTCTATGCCAAGAGTATTTTAAAAGAAGGTAGTCAAAAAAGAAGAATTTGAAAGAAGGAAATTGGAGCATGTTGCCGAAAGAAGTCGGACAAGAGACGAAAAAGAAAAAAATAAACAAGAAAAATCTCAGAAACATAGAACAAAGAAAGTGAATTGAGTGCTCCGATACGAGGAGAGTTCGAACTCTTTATATTAAATATTTATTATTAACTCTTCATATTAACTCTTAATTTTTAAATATTTTTTTGTAAACTTACTCAATAATAATCTTTTTCAAATGTTCAATAAAATTCTGTATTCCCACATTGTCAAGACTAGTTCATTAATTGAATTTTCTCCCTATATCAACTACTAAAACAAAAAGATGTCAACTACTAAATTTTCTATTTTAGCTGAGTGTCGACTATTGAATCAAATTTTACATTTCGAAAAAGAAAGAAAAAAATTTACAACCGGCATCAGGAATGAATACTCGTTGTAATATAATAAAAGAATAGTTTGTGCAGCAACTGCTAATCATAAATCCATTACTATCATTATTTTTGTGGGCATAATACACAAATGTTGTAATTATTTTCCTTATTCTTACATTATATTAAACCAATTGAATGAAAACATGCAGCTTTTTTTATATATAACTTGCTCTATGACATATAAGAAATTGGGCAATTCTAATTAATTACGTACTATATTACGTTTGGGCAAAAATTGATTGCCGGGAGTAGTATCAGTCAAATCTTCAGAATAATTTGTTGCAATGAATTTTGTAAATTTTTTTATACAGAAATATTCGCACGCTTGAATTTCTACTACTACGTATGTAATGTTTGAAATCCTTCAAGTTTCAACTTCTCTTTCCCCTGTAATGCTTAGCGTCTTACAAAAGGACATCAGGGTCGATGGGAAACGGATTTTCCTGAAACTTGCACTGTTTAAAGATCACATATCTAAACTTAATTAGGCAAAGCAGTAGCCCGCGTTTCTCAAGATTTTCCGAGATAATTGCATTAGCAAATTGTCTTATTCTCTTATAAGGAGTTCACGTTAACGATTGGTCAAGCAGCAGATGTTCAACATTTTCCCCAATGCCCACAAATAAAAAATATGCAAAAATAACTGTTCATTGGTGCAGATTTTATAAATGTTATGCTTAAAATTAAGGTAGGTATAAATTGAAAGAAAAAAAAATAATGTCCAAAACGAATTTCGACCCACCAATCTACTGTGTACCACTCTTTGACCTTACGTCCTTAGCCACTCTGCTGCCTGACTAGTCGTTAACACGAACACCTTATGACAGAATAAGACAATTTTCCAATGCAATTATCTCGGAAAATCTTGAGAAGCGCGGGCTACTGCTTTGCCCAATTATGCTTAGATATGTGATCTTTAAACAGTGCAAGTTTCAGGAAAATCCGTTTCTCGTCGACCCTGATGTCCCCTTGTTAGTCTGCTTTCGGCTTGACGGATTTCGCTCTGAACTATCTTTACTCACGTCTATAAGCATATATAATTTTTGTATATATAGAATACATCGGGAGTCAAGGCCACAATATTCAGGAGTAATATAGCTTGGTTTATAAATTGCCAGTAGTGATTTCCATGTTATTGCACACATAATTGCACTCTTCTTAACAAATTCCTACGAACATGTTCGTCAAACGCCATAATAACTTTTTATCATAATTGTTCAAGACTTATTAAGTCATCACTATACACAATAGACTTAACGTGAACCCACAAATAAAAATCCAGTGGTAAAAATTGGGGAATATTAACGACCGAGAAGTTCTGGTATCACAGCCGATCCAGCACCGATAATTTTCATTTAAAAACTACCTTATCTCGCGACTGTAGTGTGGTAATGCTTCGTCTTATTGAAAAATTTATACGAATATGAAGTGGAACATTGAGGAATCGTATCAGTATACTCTCAATTGCTATATGTTGTCATAAATTCGCGGAAATTAAACGTTCTGTTTGATAAGCATAAAAAAACTCGGAGAACGATACAGGAAACATCATGTTGTGACCTTGAATCACGATGTATTCCATGTATAAAAATATTGTATATGTTTATAGAAGATAAGAAAGTTAATTTATAGCGAAATCAGTCAAGTCGAATGTAGACAAAGTGCAAGCTCACTCGACAAGTTCTCAAACCTATTTTTCTCGAAAACAAAGCCTCAAGTGAAACAATTTTATTCAACATTTTCGACTTATGTTTTATGTGGAATCACCCCCTTTTCCTGCATATATTTGTTAATCAAACTTTGAACAATGTATCAATATGTTAATCTTTTAATAAAATAATTTAAAAAATCTGCTTTTGTTTTTTCAACATACTATAGTATAGTATACTTCACCTAAGAGTGGTACCATCGAATCACTGTTTTGAAAAGGCTTGAAGTTTTTTTCCAAAAAAGTTAAAAAAATATGGATTATATTATTGATGTCAACAATGAAAATCGGTATATTTTTTCATTCTGAGAAGAGGACAGTGAATAATTTTTTTTTAAGAGGATGGTAGGCCAAAAAAGATTAGGAACTGACAGTATAGAAAAAATGAAGGAAAATGGTCATCAAATTCCTACCAAAAATTACAGAAGAAAATAGTGAGCCAAATCTCAGTGACTAACTACATAGAGGAAAACAATGGAAAAATGGTTAACAAACTTATTGTCAGTTAAAAATTTGGAAAGAGTAATATTTACTAATTTTAAACTAGCTATTCTAGTTAAAAAGATTGTCAATTATTTTGGAAACCAAAACATGTATTAATGAACACTTATCATGGATCTCTATGTACCTCACTAGTGTCTAATGACTATAATTAGGAAATTACTATTCAAAATATCTTATTATAGTCCTTATTTCTGATTCAATTTGAACATTTTTTGTCTCCTAAATGATGAACATTGAATTCTTAAAAGACATAAGGTAACAGATTTTTTATTTCATGTTATACGTAATAATATATAAAGAAATAAGGTGTTAAAATTACTAATTTCTTCTTTAATACATGAGCAGTAATAATTATTTCTCATACGAAATAAAACGTCTATGAAACTATAATTCAGTACTTAATTATGGCAATATATTTAAAGATGGTTTACATCACATGAAATTAAAAATACACCTTACGTTCCTTATAAATTGAGTACTGATTGTTAAAAAAAAACCACATTGGTTTAGAAATATGAATTGTGTAATGTTTTAATTGCAATTTCTGTATTTTAACCATTATGTGCAGGCTTCCATAGCCTGGATTCTAAGGATTAAATGTAACAATGATAAGCTCAACTACATTCCTACATTGTAATTTATGATTGTATAAGTAAAATTACAGAATTTACTTTTTCATAATGGAATTCTATGCTTTCATATCTTAATGGGTACAATTAACTACTCATCACTGTTAACAGACACTTTTTATATTTAATAATTTAATCTACTGATTTAATCTAATACTTACCCATACAAGAGCATATTTAAACTGTTGAGCAAGTGTGCGGTGAATTGCATGACATACGTGTTCTACAGTAACACCTTTTCGTAATATTAAACCATCATCAAAGTCAGGTGGTTGGCCAGGTTTCTTTGTATAAACTCTTATTAATGATAAATATTCCCATAATGTCTCAAGTAAAAAATCCAAATTTAGTTTCATATTACAACTGTAAGAAAAATAATATGAAATGTTTTATAATAACCACTAAGTAATTTTTAATTTAAATGTATGGACACTTTATGTTACAAAATTTTGAGCAACTTTGTATCTATTTTTACCAATGAAAAATACACAAAAGAAGTTTACCTAACTACTACACTGTTAGGTTGCCTAGCAATTCTGTCCACTTCCTCTATCGATATTTGATCTATTTTATTGTGAACATAAAGACATGGTAAATATACTCTATTGGCATTAATTACATCAATCAATTCATCTGCACTACAATCTTCACGAAACAAAACCTCAGCATTAAAAATTTTGTATTCATGTAGGATCATTTGAACTAATTTTTCATCTACTTTTGTCAGAGGACATGTGGAATTGAAAGCCAATCCACCTCCTTTCTTAACTTTAAAATATATGTTTGGCTTCTTTTTATTAAGTCTTATACCAACTGATTCTAATTCTTTTTCTAAAAGTTGTCTTTGTACATCTTGTTTAGTTGCATCTAACATCATAAGAACTAAATCTGCTGTTCTTGCAACAGCTATAACTTGTCTTCCTCTTCCTTTACCCTGAAATATTTATGTGTAAAAATAAAAATTCAATACAATAATTATTGCAAACTTATATTTACCTGTGCAGCACCTTCAATTATACCAGGAAGATCAAGAAGTTGAATATTAGCTCCTTTATACTCAATAACACCAGGAATACAAGTTAGAGTAGTAAATTCATAAGATGCTGCTTCTGATTCTGTATGTGTTAATGTGCTTAACAATGTAGATTTTCCTACAGAAGGAAAACCTATTAATGCTACTCTTGCATCTCCTGACTTTAATACGTCAAAACCCTCTCCTTTTTCAGATTTTTTTGGAGGCCCTAACAGTTGTGACCTGTATTTTGCAAGTTTTGCTTTTAACAGTCCCAAATGATATTCAGTTGCTAAAAAAATAAATACAATAATTTAAATAATCACAGAATAATATGATCACAGACATCAATTAATAATTATAATTGTATATAAAACATAAAATTTTATTTAATACTAAATAATGTAAATTTTTATTTTAAATATAATAATAATATTATAATTCAATGTAATATTAACGAAGAAACATTTAATAAAGTAAATAAATACTTTTCAAAATTGTCATCATACTTATAACAAGTAACATTCATTCAATAAATTTATGAATAGCTATTTCTAATATTGTGTTTATTCATAATTTATCACTCATATCCATTTATTTATACATATTTTATAATCAAAAGAGCAATGTTTGAATTTTTGAAGTGTAAAAAATGGTGTATGTTATAAAAATATAAATGTGTGAAACTATTTGCAAATAGGGTTAATAAAAATTATGAATTTCAAATATGACAAACCTTTATTTTTTTGTGTCCGAGCAATTTCTTTCTCAATTTCAGATATTTTTTCTAATATACCCATTTTGCATTTAAGGCATGTGATATAAATTTACATTTATATACACGAACACAATTACGTGTTAATATATATATTTAATGATATTTCTCATGAACTATGAAATAAAGAGAAATACGTTTAAATTGCTTCTATTAGACGATACAAAATTGTGTCTACGATTTTGATTGGTTAAAGTCATAGTGATCTAAACCAAGAAAAAAACAGAAAAAGTTCATCTGTTTAGAAGAAGAAGGCATTAATTGTAGGAAAATCTAATTTAGATACGTATTTTAAATACTATGCACAAATTCGCTGGGTTATTTTAGATATATATACAGATAATGTATATGTGTAGTGTGTATACTATCTGAAGCATACCTACGCTATGACTCATAATACGTACCTATATAGATGGCTCACTTTTTACTTCATTAGTCATAGACTAAGTTTCCATCGAGGGTTCAAATCGAGTTAGAGTCGGGTTGAGGTGAGCGCTTTTACGGTGGAAGCACCAAAGTTTTAGTTGAACTCTACCCTATAGGGTAGCGTTCAGTTGAGGTTCGGTGGAAACGACAAGAGTCGAGTTCGTGTTGCCAACATAACAAATCCAAATTGCATTGTGTATCACGTGTTGTATTAATCGGTGTAGAAGAGGTTATTATTACTTTTTGTCGGTGATCTTGTAATCTGAGAAATAATTTTTGTATGTTATTTTGATATTGCTCTCCTTTACATGTCAGAATATGGTAGTTGACTTTGTGCAGTTGGTAATGTTCAACCCTGCCGCAACTCCAACCCGCGACTC